CGTCGTGCTTCGTCGGATTGGACAGTGACCTCACGGTTGACCAAAGCTTACTCACACCAGAGGTGAAGTTACAGGTCTTCAGATGCTCTTCCCACTTCTTCCGCTTATGTACGTTTACTAGCTGCCGAATCTCCGCGTTGAGATCCGCTTCAGCAGGGAAATTTGGACGTGGGTCGGTGATACATCCTGCCGGTACGAAGCGAGCTGCAGCAGCGGTGACAGCCCTGCGGAACTTACGTTCACCAAGGTGGACGTCGGTTGGTGTTGGGAGAGCAGCGAAGGTATTTTCAGTAAATTCCGCGAAGCCTTTCCAATCAGCTTTAGAAAAGTTGATATATGTTCGGTGCTACGCGGAAGCAAAGTCGGTTGGCTTATCGATCGAGATGACTATGGGCAGATGGTCTGATGACAAAGTCAGCTTAGGTCGTCATGATATGCTGTTTATCAGACCAGCGCTAACTATTGCTATGTCTGGCGAGCTGCAGCAGCTGCCCATGATCCTGGTGGGTGCGTCGTCGTTCATTGTGCAGAATGTCGAACCGTCTATCTGCTCAGCCAAGTCAGTTCCCCTACGATCGTTTGACAGGCTTGAGTGCCAATTAAAGTGCGCATTAAAGTCGCCTACTACCATACGGTTTTCACCTCTGAGGAGCGCACCTATGTCAGGGTGATATCCTGCCGGGCAGCAGGTGACAGGGGGTATATAAACGTTAAATATTTCGAGGTCAACATCGCCTGACCGGATAGCAATGCCCTGACATTCTAGGGTGGTATCCCTGCGGTCGATGTCTGCTTCGATAAGACGATACTGTACGGTGTGGTGCGTGATGAACGCTAAGCCACCACCATTATCCCGCTCGCGATCTCAACGGTGCACGTTGTACCCGGCACAATTCAACAGGAGCCAGGAGTTGTTGGCGGCGGCGTGTGGGTGGTGGTGCGATTATGTGTGTTCTGTGGTCTGTAGCCGTTGTGGTGTGGTCTATTGCGTTATGTTGTTGTGCTGTTGTGCTGTGGTGTTTGTGTGGGGCTGCTCAGGTGGACTGGGGTTAGCCGTGGAGGCTGCTCTGTTAGAGCAGCAGGGGGCCACAAAAGACGTGGTCCACTGCCGATGTGTCCGTAGTCCTGAGCAGACTCTGAGGTGACTCTCCCTCGCAAGCGTTGCACTTGACAGAGGTGGAGGCCCTTATTATGAGTTGCATTCGATTTTCGATCTTCGCTGGTTATCGAAGATCGAAGATCGAAAGTGAAATTCGTATTATGAGCTATGCAATCGTGTCGAAATTTTCGTTGAGTATCGAATTTTCTGTCGAACAGAATTTTGCTTTCGATGTGGTAGCGAAGTGTTAGAAAATTGTGAAAAATGTATGATTTTGCATTTGTTTTCTTACTTCTTGGCGGGTAGACACTAATTTTAAACAATTTTTTTTATCAATTTCATGCAGTTTTAACGTCGTGAATACAAAACACAAGCTCGAAAGGCTGCTTTACTTGTGAAGGAAAATCCCAATACTCAGTTGGCACGATCTCTGAGAACAAATCATAGAGCTGTGGATAGTTTTAAAATATTTTAAATAGATTTGGCTCACAAACGCCTCTTTATACAGTCGGAAGTTTTTAGTAAATCTGTAGACAAATTTCTTAAATATATTTTATGTCAAAATATATTGTAAAGACTACACTTAAACTCTCTTAAACATTTAATACTCCTGGTCAGTTCACTAAACTCTCATCCTCTGACGAATCGTTGAACCCCAGAACTTCGTTGTACTAATTTTTACCACGTTTTTATAAACTTGCTTTCTTTTTTATTTCATTTTAATTTGCACAAATTTGCATAAAAATGTATAAGCACACTATTTTGTTTGCTCGATTTGTAAACAAAGCTTATCAGCGGTGAAAAATATACTATTGTGAACAGCATAAACGAGCGAAGTTCACAATAGCGCTATTCTTCATCGAATGAGCGCCATAATATCAAATGAAAATTCGTTCGCTCAGCACTTTCGACCACAGTCGAAGATCGAATTTAACTCATAATAGGGGCCTAAGTGAATTTATTGATATAGTAAGTAAATAAAGCATACGTAACAAAAAAAATTTATATACAATTTAATTTCATCTTTGTTTACAGAGCACTGAAGCGAGTAGCAGTGGCGCTAGCAAAGAGCCACACAAGAAACGGGCAAAGGTGTTGATAATCTCCAGTTAATTTTATTGCTGTTTAAAGTTTAAATACTTTAGACGCTGTTGAATGTTTTGTGATACTAATATGTTATTTTTTTTTTAAGGACGGTGCACTGTACAGGTTACGGAAGGATTTGGCCTCACTCAAAGACAGAATCTGCGAAAAACGCACGAAGCCATTTTCTTGGCTGGGTAACTTGGTAGCAACCCAAATGGAGGAAATAATTCCCGAACAGCAAGACGACGCTGCGTGGGAGGTTCAATGCCTTATGCGAAGATTGGT